CAAATTTCTTGAGGTGCCTATGTCCAGGGCACGGGGTGATTTCCAGGCAACTGGACATCTGGCCCTCACAGTGTCCATCTCCAGGGCATACAGTGGTTCTCAGGCAGCAGGACACTCAGCCTTCATGGTGCCCACTTCAGGGCACATTCACATTGTGGCCTGAGGGAAGGGCCCTCTCTGGATGGTGCTGAGAACAGAAGTTGTCCTGTCGTCTGCAAAGCTGCTATGGGGTGAGATCTCGTCAGGGAGGCTGGCGAGCCAAGGTCCAGCACAACTAGTCCCAGGGCTGACCCACGGGGTTTTGAAGAGTGACCCTCACTGCTGTCCCTGATAATCTGCATTGGCTCAAAAGACAGAGGCAGCTGGGGAGATGCCTGTGCAGATGTTGGTCCTGGACACACTTTATAACCTTCTGTCTTTCTGGTTGCTGCCACAATCCCTCCACAGCAGGGACATCACACCACAGGGTTTTTTCTCTTATTGCTCCTGGAATGACCTCCTGATTTCTCTCAGCACAAAGCTCCAGGCAGCCAAGGACATGCAGCAGGTGTGGTTTATGAGATCAAACTCCCACCCACCCCCTTCACTCTGTGGATACCTGTGGCAAGCTTGCTTGCTCTGTGGATCATGCTACCCCACCCCATCTTGCCCTTCTCTGGAAGCTCATCCCGCCCCCCCACCCCGCCCTGCTGCCTCTATTCTAGACTGGCTTGGCTGTTCCTGACCTCAGCCTAGTCCTCTGACCCTAACCTTATCATCAACCCTTTAGGACAATTCTCCCAGACAGACCCCTCCCTTCTAAGGTTTCTCATAGACCTGCTTGTCTTGTTAATGCCCCATATGGAATTCCTGCAAATATTTAGGGTTTGACTCATGTAAACATACATTCTAGTCATTGCTCCGGAAGCCTGTTGTTTAACTGAAAAGTATAATTCAGACTGAATTCAGAGTTCCCCTCTGGCCCTGTTCTGGGTACCCTGAGTGGTATATTGCAGGGTGCATGAAGATCTCAGAGGGACCAGAGCTGAACCGTAGGTTTGGCTCAGTTCATTCTAGGTACTTGGGGGTTCTGCCTGGATCTAGCTGAATAGATTTTATGCACAACTTTTCTATTTTTTACTTTTCTTTTCTTTTGGTTTCATAGGTCAGTGCTCCTGTGACCTGTTCCTATCTCTGTTGGAGCTTTTGTATGCATAAGTGCAAGTTGAAAAGCAATTACATGCAGGCGGCAAAACAGAGAATGAGAGAAACCCCTGGACATTCCCCGCTGGCATAGGAAAACTTCCAGAGGAACATGAAAAGACTGTAGGCTTTTAGCACTTGAAAAAAATTCCAAAAGACAGATTTAGGAATGGAATATTTTTGCAGACTAATATTTTAAAAAGCAAGTACTCTTTTTATTCGAGAAGTGTCAGAACAAAGGACAAAGTAACCATTTTAAAGCGCATTTTGGCATTGCTTGGGGATGTGGACAATGTCACGGATGCAGCAGTTTTGCATGATCTGTGCATGTTGCCACTTTTAGGCATTAGGCCCCCCGAATCCCGGGACCCCTCATCATCCTGACATCACCTCTTACACAGTGAGCCCCTACAGACCACACCTGTTCATGTCCCCTCTTCCCAACAGCCAGGAAGCCGCCAATTTAATCTGCCTAAAACACTGACTAGAGTATGTCATTTCCTAGCTCGAAAGGCTTGAAAAGCTCCCATTTCCCTGACATCACTTCCTACAGGGTGTTTGGTGCCCTGCCAGCCTGACTCCATGTCCTGTTCCTCCCTTGCAGGAAATGAGAGTGACCCCTCAGAAAACATCACCAACTGCTCCCTGCTCTACATTTAGACTTATTTTTAAGCTACCCCCTTTCATTCATTCCACTCATCCTCATCTTTTCCTTGCTAAGAGTGGCACCTTGCCCAGTGATCTCTTGGCATTGTTTCTGCAATATTCATGCACAGTCACATGGTTAGAGGGACAGATGGATGGACAAGGAGACTGTAGACTAGATATGGTCAACCACAACCCATGCTTATAGACCCATGGACCGCTGGCATCATTCCCAGGGTAGAGCTATGATCAAAAGAGCAAAGTTGGGCAATCCCCTTGGGTCCTCTCCCACTGTGGGAGCTTTTCTGTCCTCTCAATAAATCCTGCTTCCTCAAAATAAATAAAATAAAACAAAATAAAAAAGAGCAAAGTCTATCCATTGAGTGACTTTAAATGATGCGAGTCCCTTCCTTGTGTTTTCTGCACAGCACGGAGACAGCTTGTGGATCTTGGTAGCTCCTGGCACCCCTTTTCCTCTTTAGCTCTCTGGTCTCCTGCCTGGAGCTGTAGTGCTGTTTTTTCCTGTTCTACACAACCTGGCCCCCATCACCCCTGCAAGGGAGGTCCTGCCTCTCTGGGTTGCTCTCCTTCTTATCTCTTTCCTTTGAATTCTTCATAATAACTCTATAATAATAATGCCAAAGTGAAACTAGAGTCACAGAGGCTCCAATGACTCCAGGTTCTACAGAGTTAAGAATAAATACTCAGGTTTTCCCTGAATGTTGATGGATCTAGGAGAACATAATCTACCCAAGCTATGCAAAAACCGCACAATTATGAGTCACATTATAATGGGGCTTCACTATATTGTTTTTAAATCTGAAAGACTGTAATTATGTAATGATTTGAAAGCCACACACATATTCTAGATTCATAATTGTAGGATGCAAGCCATGGGAACCTGGGTTTCTAAGGTATATTGATTTTACGTATAGCTTTCTTAGACTTTATCACACACAGTCTTCATACATGAGAATATGTAGAACCACAAATCTAAAAAAGAGAGCTTGGTTCTACAAGGTCTCATTATTTTGTAATCATATTTTAATAGTTTATTTTTCCCTATTGCTTCTTCAGTTCCAGGTGTTGAATAGAAATAACTTTAAAGAAGGCCCAAATAATAGTCCTGGGGATGTCTGCTGTTTGGGGTCTGTGGGACACCCTGGGGAGGGGAGGACAAATTGTTTTCATAAGAAAGACTACCTGCTGAACCTTGCTGTCTGCGCCACTTTCTCATTAAACCTCCAGAGAACACAAAGGAAGTAAGAGTCATTTTTTCCTCCATCTTCCAAAGAACAGTTTTCTGTATAAAAGGTGCCCTAAATTCTTTATAAATCTGCGTCCACAAGCAGTGTGCTCTGAGACAAAGCAACACTGATGACAGCCTCGTAGACAGATGGCCCACGCCCAAGGTTCCCAAGGATAAGGGAGTCATTTTGTGAAACAGCAAGTGGGATACTCATTAGGGGGTGACCCCCTGGAGATGGAGGATGTTAGTAGGCCAGGTTGAGCCATGGCTTTAAATCAGAATTAAAGAAAAGAACTTTCTGTAAAGAAGAGGACAAAGACATGAGAATTAAAGTGAGTGTCTGCCATGCATTCCCTGGGCAACACTGGCAACGTGGATGACGAGAGGATGTGCCAAGAGTGCAGGAGGGTGAGCTGCTGCCACTTTTTTATTGCGCAAACACTTATCAAGAGTTAAATGTGCTTGCCCTTTAACCTTTTCCCTTTCAAGAATGTATTGTATGGGAATGTTGGGCAGACATATGAAAACCTGTAAAAAACAACTCAATCATCAATAGGGAATTAATCAAATAAACTAAGTTACATCTATGTTAAGGAATATTATGCAGCTGGTAAAAAACAATGCTGATATGTATGTTGAGACAAGAAGAATGGTCACAATCTGTCTTAACTGAAAAGAGAAGGTTGAAGAATCTTTAAACAATTTGACCTGATTTCCATGCAGAAGCAGAAGAAAGGAAAGGAGGGAAAGGCAGCCTTGTGTGGACAGTGGAAAACACTGTGGCCAATATTCATCACGCACAACAGTTACCTCTAGACCAAGGAAAGTGTCAGTGGATTTCACTTTCTGGGTAATATGTGATCATACAGTTTGAGGATTTATAACTTTCCTGTATAGTTTTTGTACTCTGAAAGTTTGAAAAAAACCCTAGCTAATTAAAAAACTGCCATTCTTGATGAGAAGGGACATACCCTATCCTCATTGTTGAAGAATTGGGGTTTCTTCAGAGTTGCTTCCACCCCCTGTACCGTCCGCCTTCTCATCAGGACTGACACTCCCTCAGTCTGGGCTATCTTCCTGTCTCATGCAAGCTGACATGAAACCCCTCCTGGGTCAGAGGGACCAAGCCCTGAATGCCTGAGAGGCTATGCGCTGAGCCCACTCTTCTCCCTTTCCACCTGCTTTACTCTTAGGAATTTCACCAAAGACAGGTCTGTCTGGCTCCTCTCCACTCTGGCTCCTTAGAATCTGCTTTTTAGCAGCGTGCTAGACTCCTCTTGTCAAGGCAGCCATTTGACTGGTCATGAAGTTTATTAGAAATATATTTCATTTGCCTGTAGCATAAATATGCTCGAGGCTCAGCATACACACAGATGTGTGCACAAACGGAAAGAAACAAGAGTACACATGTGTGCACACTCCCCCACATGTATGTGCACAGTACACACACACAGAAGTGCACACACCTTCACATGCTGGCATACAGATGTGAACACACTCACACAGGTACATGCACAGTGCACACACATGCATACATACATTGACACTCAGTCCTGTTCTTGTTAACAGGTTCTCGGGTTCTGCAGTGCTAGGGGAGGGCATGTCGGAGCGGCAGGGCATGGGAAGGCTGTGCATGCAGGGGGCCCCTGCCCAGGGCTGCCCACATGTCATGGCCACCACAGACCAACGTTCTCCAACCACAACGTGCTGGCGGGTGTCCATGTCTCAAGGGACAGGCGGCTGTTTCCAAAGTCCTCAAAGGTGCCGCATGACCTGCAGGACCCTGCCCACTCTTTCCCACCCAGGTTCTGTTTTCCAAGAGGGAAGATTTCGTCTGAATGTGGCAGCACATGGTTAACAAATGCGAGCACATTTCCTGTGTTCCAGGGTCTCAGGACTGGTCAGAGTGAATTTCCACTCAGCATACAGATATGAAACCAGGTTTTATTGAAGTATTTACACAGTTCATTCTTACTGCATGGTGGAGTCTGTGACATTCCATGCTCATTTACAACACTGAAAAACACCTGCTGACCCTTGGGTCACCAGTACTCTGATCGCCAGTCAATTCTGTTAGCAAAGACTGTTTGCAACCCTTCCCTTTCTCTTTACCAGGCAAGAGAAACCAATTCCCAGCTCTGCAGAGCCTTGGCATATGCTTAGCTGAGAATGTGTCCCCTGCTCACCTGATGACTGCCCCAATGACTGAAACTGCACACATCCAACTACCCTGATGGCCACCTGCACAAACGATAATGGCTCCGGTGTCTGGCAACTGCCCTGAAGACACAATGATGGCCCAATGATCATCCATGTCCATGTGTCCCCAGCGTTCCATTGGTGTCATAGCTTAACGTCCACCTAATCGTTGACACAACACTTTCAGCTACAGCAAATGCTAGCTTTCTCAAGACCCCAAGAGCAGGCAAAGGACATCCCTTTCCTTTTAAAGACAGAGCTGGGTAAGGCTGGGTCTAACCAGGTCCTGCAGGAAGGAGCATCCAAGAGGCAGGGCTGGACCTCAGATCCCCACCCTCTTTCCTCTCGCTGTGCTCATACCACAGTTGGCCACCCTTTTCTGGGCCATCTGCTTCACATGTTCCACAGTGAGTCTGAGGCAACGTCAATCACGAATGGAAACCCAGGAAACGGCAGCTTAGATGTTCTCTAGGTCCTCTGACAGCCACCCACCCCACCAATGACTCCAGATAAACTTGGAGCTCATTCTCCAGCTGGTGTGGGCAAAAGTCCAGGTAACATCTTGTTATAACAGGGCATGGCCCAAGGCGTGCAGGATGGGGAACTGGCTGTCAGAGACTTGAGCCGGTCTCTGGACAACTGCTGTTTTGCCATCCCAGGAGTCCCTTTTGTCCAGTGGGTTTTACACACGCCAGGATGTGCGAGACCTACCGTGGCCTGTGGCAGAGGCCCAACCCTGCTGCCCTGGACTCCAGCGCGATGGCCATTATCTTTGGCATCTGTGCACCATTCAAGATCGAGGATGCCGCCAATGTACAGGAAAGAGATGTTCATGTAAATGGGGACTCATAGCATCAAATGTGCTCGGAACAACCAAGTCCAGCAGATGAGGCACTTGGGCTAGGACTGGACAGTCTTCCAAGGTCTGTCAGGAGCTGCAGAGACAAGGACTTGGCACAAAGGACGGAGACAGTGTCCCGATGTTCCCCTCTCTCCTCCACTCCCCTTCTGTGGCCATTTCAGCAATTTCGTCAGACCTATCTCTCCAAGTCTGCAAATAATCATAGAAAATCATAGCTAGGTCTGCGGCTGGCCAACACTGGAGAGGAGGGCTTGATACAGTTTTATATCTTGTTAAAATAATTATCTGCTTAAACAGAAATGATTCTAAGATTATTTTTGTTAAAAAGAGAGTAAGTTTCTCTTTCCTACTAAATTGCATCATCCCTGTAGTGTGGCCCCATCACCAGGGCCCTGCAGGCCTGGCTACAGCTCTGTGGCTCAACACAGGTGGCATATGACCTCTTATAGGCAAAGTCAGGGCCACCCAGGGCCTCCCTGGCACCTGCAAGAGGAGGGCCCCACTGAAATGCAAACGTCTTCTCTTCATGACCTGCCTCTGTTAACCTGAGCGTTTCCTCAGTCCACCTTCCTTGGGAGACAGGAAAGTCCTGTGGGAGAGGCTGTGCTGGGCCATGAGGTGCTGAAAGAGTTGGGGGGGGCATCTAGGGGGAGGGCTGCGCTGCCCTCTTGCTGATTTCTCCTGGTCCTAATTTCATGGCTTTCCTACACCGGCTTCTTTGTCAGTGTCTTGCAGATAAGAGGCTGCCCTTTATGGGACCCCAGAGGAGGAAGCGACCACCTGATGGCGGTCACCCCATAGCTGAGGCTTTGCCCCCCACCCACAGGACTGTGAATTTTGCATGAAAATTAGAAAACACTCTCATTTTCTTCCATCAGCTGCTGGCCACAGCTCTGGGCCACAGCACCTCGTTTTGATATTTCAGGGACCACCTCATCTCCCCTATTCTCTTTGAAAATGGATTCAGCTATCTGGCTGAACATTTTGCACAAAATTATCTAGATGCTGGGGTTAGCAACAATTAGCATTTAAAATCAAGTCGATTAAGATATGACCCCAGGTCCATGAATGGGATGAAGCGAGTGACTGGCTGGAGTGTGGCTGTCGGGCTAGATGACAGAGGTCTCCGTTTGCAGGAAGGACTGGGCACGGGAGCCTCGGGGGAAATGCAGGGCGCCCTCCGAGCCATTGCGGGAGATGGATGAGCTGTAGATCCTGTAGTCTCGGCTCACGGATGGGGTCGGGCACCGGCTTCGCCACTTTCTTTTCAGCTCGCACTGCACCTGCGGGACGAGAGGAAGCCATTCACCCTGCGAGCTCGACATGGGCACTCAGGTCCCCTCAGGAGGGCACGGTCCTGGGTATGCGCTGCCACTGCCTCTCCTGCGTGTGCCCAGGAGTGGAGGGAGAGTCGACCTCTCTCCACGACCCCATCCGAGGGATACAGAGAGAGACAGGCTTGGGGCAGAGAGGGTGTCGGGAGGAGGCACTGGCTGAGCCGGGGAGAGGCCGGAGGGATGTGTTCAGACTCCAAGATTGCACAGGTTGTTAGAGAGGCTGGCACTGCCACAGACAGGGGCTCACAGACCCACGATACCAGAGATCAAATTTATGTTTTCAGAAAAGATTTTCCTTCACTGGGGGAGTGACGGAGCTTGGGCTCTACCTTCTTCCGAGCTCTCAGGAGTCAGGGAACATGTGCCCTACCCTGTAGTGATGTGAAAGGTGTGGCAGGCTGAGGTGGCTCCCCGGGCCAGCGGGAGGAAGGAGAGCAGGACTTTGTGAAGGACATGCTGGTAAGTCGAGTCAAGAAAGCACTGGCAGCAATGACAGGGGCTAGGGTTCAGGGGAAGGGAGAGTGAGGCTCCCAGAGTCCCAGGGAGACAGCCCATCTGACGCCTCCCGTGAAGGGGGAGGGTGGTGTGGGTGTGAGGGTGTGAGGATAGTGGGCCCTAGCTGTGCCCCCACCCAATGTGCGCACCCCTTGGGGACATGTTCAGGGGTCCCCAGGCTGACTTCTTCCCATCTGAGGAGCCTGTGAGGAGAGAAGGTACCAGCATGGGAGAAGTAACTACTGACAACATGAGCAGCTCAAGGGCTCCAATCTCTGAGACCGGGCAAGAAGTTTAAACGTTATCTGTTTAAGATTATTTTTGTTAGAAAGAGAGGAAGTTTCTCATTTCTACTAGATTGCGTCCCTGTGGTGTGTGACCCTGTCACCAGGGCCCTGCAGGCCTGGCTGCAGCTCTGTGGTTCAACACAGGTGGCAAGTGACCTCCTGTGGGCAGAGCCAGGGCTGCCCAGGGCCTCCCAGTCACCTGCAAGAAGAGGGCCCCACTGAAATGCAAGCATCCTCTCTTCATGGCCTGGCTATGTTAACCTGAGGGTTTTCTCACTCCACCTTCCTTGGGAGGCAGGAAAGCCCTGTGCTGCGGGGAGCATCCACTCTTATTGATGGGGAGCTGGTGTGGTCTCCAGGCAGAGGCTCCCAGAGAGGAAGCCTGTGGCATGGCTTGAGAAGGCATTGAAGATGAGCACGGGGCAGATGTGGCTCTCCAGACTTTATCTTTGGGAATGTGACTTACGTGTCTCTGGACAAGTCATTGGCTTGGGGCTGGGGGAGAAAGCCTCCCAGTTCCTCCAAGACAAGGCCCTGACTTTCTGGGGAACTGGGGACCGGGAGCAAAATATTGGCCGTAAAGAGGGACACACCTTTCCAAGGATCTAGCAGAAGGATAGAGCAGTCGGTGCCGTGTGGTGTGAACGGAAGAGGGAGGTGTTGGAGGGGACGCCAGGGGGCTGGACTGAGATGGTGCAGGAAGAATGGGGTTGCCTTTGTTGTTCTGGGCTAAGGGCAGTGAGAATGACCCATGGAAGGTGGCTCACTTGGGTGCCTGCACACCAGGCTGAGAAGCACGTCAGGGAAAAATGGGGGATTTGTGACTAGGGTCTTACCTCACTGTTTAGAAAGCAGTAGAGCACGGCCACCACCAGTCCCTGCAACGAGAAAGGATCATCAGAGACAACCCACCTGCCCAGGGGAGGGCTGGCCATTCCACACGCACCTGGAAAGATCCGAGGCACAGTTCAAACAGGATCTGGTATTTGGAGGAGATGCGGATCGGGAACACGGCAAACACCATGTAGTGAACGCCGAACAGGGGGATGAGCAGGAGCGTGGACTTGGCAAGCCTCCTGTAAAAAGGAAAAGGCTGTGCTCAGCAGGCTGTCCTGCAGAGTTCCTGCAGGTGTGACTGGACCATCCTCAGAGCTGCCCAGGTGGTGGGCATGGACACGGAGAGGTGGTGGAGGGTGGTGGGCATGGACACGGAGGGGTGATGGGGGGTGGTGGGTATGGACATGGGGCTGGGCACTGTCTTCACTGCTCCCCAAGGCCCGCGCCCCACAGACTCAGACCTCATGGGGCCCTGAAACCTGCGCCCAGCAAGCTTGGACCTTGCTGAGACCTCCTCTCTTGTAAGTTATGGGCAGAAAGTGCAGATGTGATGATAAAAATGGCTGCCTCACAAAGCGGCAAGTCCTGACACGTGGAAGGACTGACAACACGGCGTAGTTCTGAAGGGCCTTTCTGTTCCGTTGGTCTTTGGCTTAACAACTGGGACCCATGCCGGCATTTGAAGAACAGGCAAATTGTAGGTTCAGATGGAAAGGGCAGACTCACAGCACGGGTGAAGCCCCCTCAACACAGATGCTGTGGAGGAAGGTCCTTAAACTGAGGTTATCTATAGGTCCTGACAGGTTATCCACGAAACCCTCCCTTGATGACATCTGTGGAGTGAAGCAAGCTGCATTGGAGGTGACTTCTCTGTCTACCACAGAGTTACTACCCCCCGATCAAAAAAGGGGATTTTTGCTGCATTGTATGTTGAAAGTAAGACTGCTGCACTCAACTCTACCTTCCCCATGGCTGTGAGCACTCATTGACACTCGCTCCCCCCGCCAGGCAAATATTTCCTAATTTATACACTTCTTCATTACCTAAGCCAGTGCTTCTCAAACTTTAGCTGCATCAGAATCACCTGGAGGCCCTGTTGAAATATAGATTTCCAGGCCCCCTAAGAGTTTCTGGTTCAGAAAACCTGGGTCTGAGAGCCTGCATTTCTATCCATTTACTAGGACGCTGCTGCCTGGGAACCCACTTTGAGAACAACAGTTCTAAACTGGTGACTCTCATGACAGGAGCTCTCACAGCTTGAGTCCAGCCTCCGCCTCACCCCAAGGATGTCAGGTCTCAGCAACAGGACCCTGGACAATCAGAAAAGAGATCCCCCGGAAGAGACATAGCTAACCCTAGGGGGCTCAGCACTTACACCACAGCTCCAGGGGAGCTCCCACACGGCCCCACCACCTCCTGCCAGAGAAAGCTGAGCTGAGGGGCTCCAGCCTCCTGAGTCACCTCCCAAATGCTAGGGAAAAGCCATCTGCCTCTTTTGATGTATTTTTGAGGCACCTACCCAGATCTAGTGCTCACAGTCTGGGAACGCAAGTTCTAGAAATGTGTTCACTTCTCCCAAGTTTCCTCACAACAAAGACTGTTTGTCTTGTGGCATTTATGACACTCTGCATTTGCCTAGAACCCAGTCCATCCCGAGGCTGGTGAGACACACAGGAGGTCTCTGGCGTGAGAAGGTTGGCCTTAGCCACGGCCCAGGCGCACCCTTAACTGTATGAGGCCCAGAGTCCATGCTGCCTGAGACTCTTGCTTCCAGAGTCTGCGGGGGCATAAGAGCTGGGCTCTGAGCACCCTTCAGTATAGTGGTGGACAGAACCTGCCTAATTTCCATCATTAACATATCTGAAGTTTGCTAGAACAGAGGTTTTTGGGAGGTTGAGCCTCTTAGCCAGGTCCAGGGAGGTTTTGCTACTTCTGTGACCAGAGAGAAAAGACCTTGTGTGAGCCTGAGGCCAGCTGTGCAGACCTGCTCTGCTTTTTCTGCTGTCCTGGAAGGAGAACAGATTTTGTTATCCCCACTTAATTTTGTTTCCAAAATAAAAGCATCTATCTCCAAGACACACTTAACGAACACTCCCAAAGAGCCCAATGAAAAGGTCAGCATAAAAGTGAAACAAGATTTACAGAAAACCAAAATTCAACCTGAAGGGCGACCAAGAATAATCTTATTCCTGCTTTCCTGTTGCTACAGGTGCAGGGGCCCCAGGGACTGCCAGTTTCTCACTTGCACAGGATAAGGTCACATTGTCACCTGGGCTTTGTTGTGGAATCCCATCTCTAAAGGAGACTGGGCAGAGAAGCTTATTCCTTGGATTTTATACACCCCATGGCACAATTAGATTTATCTGTTTACCAAACTCTTTCTCTATACTTCCAGTGCCAGGCACTAAATGTCTTTCAAATATGAACTCCATTAATCCTCACAAGCTTAGTGACATTATTATTATTTCTGTTTCACAGATGAGGAAGCTGAGACGCAGGGCAGGGAAGTGACTTCCCTCAGGCCATGTGAACTCAGCATTGGCATCCCAGCTATGCTCCTGTCTAAACCACCTCCCCAAGTGTATAGGTCCTGGAAAGTCATCCGTGAAACCCTTTCTTGCTGACCTCTGTGGAGTTAGGCAATCTCCACTGGAGGTGACTTCTCTGTCTACCAAAGAATTACTATCTGCCCTAATCAAAAAGTGGGTTTTCCAAATCCTTCTAAGTGGGGAGGGAAGGGGAATGCTGGGTCAAGCACCCTCCTGGACCAGGCAGCAGGTGCCTGCTGTGACATGGCTCTGAACACCACGGCTCTCCCAGCCCTGTTTTGTCTGAGCTTGAGCACCTTCTGGGCTGGGCCAACCGCCTCAACACTAAACTGTTATACTCAAGTTACACTTGAGTGGTGGATTTTTTCTTTGTACACTCTTAAATGTAAAGAATCTTTATATTTCTTTATAGATTCCTCAGATCAGCATTAATTGGCTGGATGATTGTGGTGATCTGCTCAACCTATGTTGTCTTTTCTCATTTACTGAGGGGAGGTGATGGCACCATCTTCATTTAATCACTTAGTCAATAGACACATGTTGAATTATTATTAACTTCCAAACCTGGCATCAGGTGCCGGCAGTAGACATATGGCCACCAACCATGTGGTCTGATTGGGAAGACAGAATTAAACACAGAATAAAAATAATGTATGGCCAAGGAGAGAAAAGACAGATTACTAACAGGAAAGTGGGAAAACACTTAAATAAACCCGTTCACTAAACACTTTCTTCTCCCCCCACTCTGGAAATACAAATACTTAGAAATAAAAGAAAAGGTGCCTGACTTTGATAATCACCACAGAAATGCTGCCAAGGACCTGAGTGTCAGAAATGAGCAGAGTCCTGGGGCCCAGCCAGAGGTGCACACTTGAGACTGGTCAGCCACTGCACCCTTGAGGGCTTTCCCAGCACTTAAACGGTGGGATTCTTTCTGGTCCCCACACACTATTCCTAGGGTGGCCAGTGACTGGATGCATACTCACTTATACTGCGATTGGTCATTGCCACCAACATCTGGGGACGTTAACTTCTGCAGTAAAATTCTTATAATGTTGATGAAAAGGACAAAATTAACCTGTACAAAGAAAGATAAAATGTTTGTGCATGATTTTTCACTAAAAGCAGAAGTTGTGGGGTGCAGGGTGTCTGTGGTTCACCACGTCACATGCCAGGAATCCCAGTGCCAGCCTGCCCACAGTGTGGAGGCAGGACAATGTCTCTCCCCTGGAGGAGAACCCTGCATGACCTCAAGTTTCAGCAACACAAGCCAATTAATTTTGGAATGTGACATGGATAAACGAAAACCTGATGTGCTCTGAAGTCCAGCTGATTTAGACTTCCATATTCTCTACTCCCTCAGTCCCTCTTTCCTTCCCTGGGAATTGCCCCAGGAGCCCCTTAAGCCCGGTGAGGTCCTTTATTCGGAAGATTGAGTGACTGAGGTTGTTTATATTTAACAAAAGACAACGGACTAGCTGTCTCTGGCATTCAGCTCAACAGATACTTTACCCTTCAATACAGAAGTTACTTACGATAATAGAAATTAAAATCGGTATTCGTATGACCCACCAGGGAACGCTGTGGTCATTTGTATCCCAGCAACTGTTAAGAGAGAAGGAAGATCACATCACCACTGGTTTCATCCACAAATGAGGTATGAGGATGCGTGTGCATCTGAGGACTGGCCACTCACACGGGGCTTGCGTGACGGAAGCTGCTCCCTTCCCAGGGCACGCGTCCTCCTGCCAGGTTCCTGTCCCCTCCCTCCTGACTTGCCCACTCTGGAAGCACAGTGGCCCTATCCTGAGAGACCGTGAGGCAGGTTTCCCCAGTGCACGACTGTGTCTCCTTTTCTTCTTTTCAACACGGTTGTCTGCTTGTGGAGGGAAGGGCTGAAGCGTGGCCCCAGAACCTGGAGGCAGGGAGGTCCGTCCTGAAGCTCCACGGCTCTGTGGGTCGGCCCAGTCCAGGGTCTTGCTCACTCCAGCTGATAGCATGAAAAAGGATTTTTTTCTCCTAAACTTTAGCTTCCCCTCACCTCCCAAATGTTTGTATCTGCATCTTGAATGAAGGTTTAAAAAATGTCTTTAGACTGAGGTGGATGGCGCCTACGATAGTGCCATCTAGCATTATTTTCAGTGTTGGTGGTCTCCAGCAGAAGCTCTAGTGAAAGGGTTGTCTCCAGCAGAAAGCTGTGATCAGTTGCTTGCAAAATGCCTCGGTGATTCCCTCCAGGGCCCACACCCCTGCAAGGGACTCCACAGCGCCCATAAGTGCAGGATCTCCCTTCTTGGTCCCTGGGTTCCAAGAGCCCTTGCTCTCCCTCCCTGTACTCCCTGGAAGCCCGAGGGGCAGAGGAGCCTTCCAGTAGCTGCTGTCTCCGACGGCCCCCGCTGGTTGCAGGTGGTCAGATGTGAGTGAGCTGGCTGAGGCCAGAAGCACTGCTGTGTGAGTCCACACAAGTTGTTGGTGTGCAGAATCACACACTAAACCAATGGTGAACATTTTAAGCCACCACATCTTGAGGTGATTTGTTCCTTAGTAGTAGATCGTGGATATGCCCTGAGGCCCTTATGAGGCAGGACATTTGTGCTGGGAACCCCGTGGGCTTATGTCTGGGGTTACCATGTGCACAAGAGAGCTCTGGGCCTGCGCTAGTTGTGTCCACGCCCAAGGAGTGCCCAGTGGAGGATGACTGCCTCCAGAGGGGTGCTGCAGTGGCCACTGCAGCTCGACCTTCAACGCTCTGCATCAGGTAGACAACTTGCATGGCTCTTAGTTCTTTTTTTCGTTTGTTTTTGAGTCAGAGTCTCTGCCGCCCAACTGGAGTACAGTGGCACAATCACGGCCACTCCAACCTCAACCTGTTGGTCTCAGGCTATCCTGCCTCAGCATTCCAAGTGTGATCTGCCACACTCGGCTAATTTTTTTTAAATCTATTGTGGAGATGAGGTCTCTCCATGCTGCCCAGACTGATCTCAAACTCCTGGGCAATCCTCTCACTTTGGCTTCCCTAAGTGCTGGCATTACAGGCGCAAGCCACTGCACCCAGCTTGTTTTTCTTTTGTGGATGCCCTTGTGCCTATCTCAGAGGCTGCTTTATCCCTGCCTGGTTTATCTTAATCTCAGCTATGGGCACATAACATCACTAATTGTACATGATCCTAAACAAGGGGAAGTGAGGACCAGTGGTAGGCCCAAACTTCACCTGCATGTAGACCAATTGTGTACCTAATCCTGACTAGTACTCCACATCTTTAAGATAAAATAAATGATGAAAAAAATCTCAGCAGTTCTGCAAGACCTGTTCACTTTCCATCTCTTCCTCGAACCTTCCTCCAAACAACCCAACCCCAAATAACTCCTTTCCCATGAACTGCCACATGTTCAAACACTGCCTATGTAACTCCGGACTGCTGCAAGTGCTTCCCTGTTCTTCCATCAAGTAACTTTCTCTCTGATTACTTGTGATTGTCATGATCTGCTCAACCTCTGTTCTCTTTCCTCTTTCCTCACTTACTGAGGGGAGGTGATGGCACTATCTTAATTTAATCGCTTAATTGATAGCTACATGTTGAATTATTTTTAACTACAAAGCCTGGCATCAGGTGCCGGCAGTAGACATATGGCCAGAGGACTTCAAGTTGCAGATACTGCTTGATCTCATGGTCAAGGTCGTGGTCTGGGTGCAGCACTCACCCTGTGTCTTCTAAGTAGAGCCTGGCTGTTGTCCATGCACCTATGCAGATGGTGGGGATCCCTGCAGAGAGACACTTGGTGTCACAACCCCATGGGAATCGGCCACAAACAGCATGCATGCACACACATGTGCCTCCACTAGCTGGAATCAAGGACAAGCTTTCTGACTGAAATATTAGGTGCAAACTCTTATTTAAAGTCTTCACCAATATTGTCAAGTTTCTGATCATGCCTTACTAAGCAGGAAAGATAATTATACATGGTTTGCAAGCTGAAAGTCTGATGAGGGTCTGAAGCTTGTTGTTCTGTATAGGAAGTGTTACTGTTGAAGGTGGTGTGCAGAGGTGAGGACATGTTCCCTGATTTTGGAAAGCCCAAGGAGCCCTTTGCTGTGTAGACTTCTCCTGTCAACGCACCCCTTTTCAACCCAAGGCTCTTGCTCTCCAATTTCCCCACCACTGGTGTGAGCTGGCTGGGGAAGAGGGAAGACTAGACTGTTTGCTACTTGTTAGCAGCCCAGTTTGAATTTGGGATAAAAGGTGCCAAAAATGGGAACTTACGGCATTTTAAACCAGGCTCCTGGTTACAGAAAGATTAAAGTGTTACCTATAGGAACCTCCAGTCATCCTAGAAAAGCTCTTCCTAATATAGCCTTGAAATGCTCCTACAAGGGCAGCAAAGTGTTTTTCTGAGCTGGAAAAGTCAGTTTTATTGGTGGACGGGATGGGAGTTGGGGACCTGGGTGTTGCGTGGGTAGCACTGAGCTTGGGTCACACACAGGGCACAGCGGATGGGAGGGGGCATCCTTACCCCATCCGATCAGGAGGTAGGCCAGGAAGCATCTGCTGGGAGGGAATATGGCCACCAGGAGGGTGTGGAGATAGAGCCCCTCCACCAGGAGCCAGAAGAAGTTGGCCATGATGCAGTACTGGAAGAAGACCAGGCTCAGCTTGCAGCCGACCTAGAACGGCACACACAGAGAAGAGAATGTGGCCCCATTTGGATAAAAATAGTTTATGGCAAGCAGCGCTGCTCCAGGATATAATGCACATGGTGTTTGTATAAGGCAAAAGGACACACTGGGGTGCCGTCTCAGGAAGGGAAGTGATTAATACAGTGGTGAGGGGGTTGGCCAGGAATGTGTGCTGTTAGAGCGGGCCCTTTGTATACACAGCACCGGGGGACTATCACATGAAGTCTCTGAACTCACTGGAAGATAAACATGGCAGAGGCAAATGTAAACAGCTCTCCCCGAGAAGGGTGAACTCATAACTTTGGGGCGAACTGCGTGCAGGACAGTCCTAGACAGCAAGGGTCAGCTCCCTCCCTCCCCCTTTTATCTTCTGATGGTTCCTTCTCCCTGTCCTTCCTCCACTATCCACTCAACTCTCTCTCCCCCCATGGAGCACAGGAGTGGGTGGGGAGGAGGTTCTTGCTGGCTAATGAAGAACCCAGTATGTCAAGTGTGGAGTGACACATGGGCCAGCTGGTGTGGCCAGTGCACCTGGCAGTGGTCGTGAGTTGAGGCCCAGGAAGGCTGGGGCTGCAGCTGGTGCACCTGCAGGACCCATGGTGCTCATGGCTCCTGGCCTCTCTCCATTTATCTCAACAGAGGATAAACATAGGGAAGAAGTAAAGGGCTTCAACATGAAAAACATTTGGGAAGAATAAACAATGTACCACCACTGGGCTCCTAGGCTGTCCTTTTAAATTTTTGACACCTTTGTAAGTTTCCCAATTGTAAGAAAAGCGGTTTTAATTGGCAAACTTAACCTAAAGATGAAAAATAAAGGGGGAAACAAGAGAAGACTTGCAAATAAAATATTTTCCCAGGAGTTTTGCAAAGATTTTCACTGGGGAAAATTATATATAAAAAATAAATCTATTTTAATCTCTCCTTCATATAACCTTCCTTCACATAACTAAACATACCAAGCATTTCAACTTCATGAGCAAACGTGGAATTGCTGCTTTTAATCACTAAGCTTATATAAAGTATGCTAAAGAAGACCAGTGGTTTTATTTTCATTCTTATTTTTATATTTATGTACATATACCTATAATGCAGACATGTATAGATGGATGTACATATATATGAGCAAATATACTGCAGATGTGTAGGATGGGTATACTTATACATACATATGGAATGGGGATACTTATCCATATATATGGAGTGGATATACATGTATGTATGTATGTGGAGTGGAAATATATATACGGATGATATACATATACATGGAGTGGACATATGCATATATAGAGTAGCTATATGTATGCATATATATATGAGTGGAACTGCATATACATATGTATGAACGGATATATTTACACATATATGTGGAGTGGATACACATATATACATACATAGGGTGGATATACTTATATATATGGAGTACTTATATATATGGAGGGAATATGTACTTATACACTTATATATACATATATATGGAGTGGATACATACTTATACACATATATACTTATATACATGGAGTGGATATACTTATACACATTATGGAGTGGACATATGTATATATGTGGAGTGAATATACATATATATGGATGAATATGCATATATGTGGAACGGATATACATATATAAGGGGTGAATATCCTTATTTATACAGAATGGATATATTTATATGTGTATATGTGAGTGGATATACTTATATACATATATGGGGTGGATATACTTATATATGGAATAGACACGTGTGTATATATATATATGGAGTGGATATACTTATACACATATATGAGTTGATATACATATATAGGCAGTGGAAATACTTATATATGTGGTATGAATATACTTACAACTATATAAGGAGTAGACATATGCACTTATATATATGTGGAGTGAATATATTTTGTATAAATTTATATGGAGTGATATACATATATATGTGGAATGGATATATTTACATATAAGGAGTGGATATACACTTAGATATATAGAGTGGATATAATTATACATGGAGTGGATATACGTAAGCTCATATATATATATACTTATACACAAATACAGAGTGGATTTATATACACGCATCTGTGGATATAGGTATACATATATATGTGGAGAGGATATACTTAGGCACTTATATATGGAGTGGATCTACTTATACATATATATGGAATAGACATATGGATATATATGGAATGGCTATACTTATACACATTTGGAGTGAATATATGTATGCATATACTTGGGGGGGCGCCAAAAAATATACATAAATTTTAAGTATGGCATTTTCTCAAAAGATGGCCTTAATCAAATGAATGCTAGCATCATTATGTGACAGACAGGTCAGTCAAAGAAAATGGTAGGAGCAAGGTTGAGCAAACGTCATACTACATGTTACTATCGTAATTTGATTCAACTTCAAAAAGTAATACATAAATAACATTACTTAAAATGATTCAACTTCAAAAAGTAATACATAAATAACATTACTTAAAATGTGTATACATTTCTCGGGACCCCTGTACATATGAAGTGGGTATAATTATACACATATATATGGAGTGGATACACTTACACACATTTGGAGTGGACATATGTATACATGCATTTATGTCGAGTGAATACATGTATGGGAAATTCATGATGGCCCTTCAACTTGGCCTCTGGGGTTCTTAGGTGCTTTGCCCTGACAGCTGCTGAACCCTGCAGCCTGGTCCTGCCTTGCCTGGCTCTGCTTTTTCTTCTCCCTAAGCAGAGCGGGAGAGCGCACGCTACGTTTCAATTATAGCAAAGGCAAGAGTTGCTTCGCATTGTCTGTCTGACACCAGAGCGAGCCAAGCGCCCGCACGTGGGTCCCCAGTGCCAGCACCTGCAGAATCTATACTCAGATCTCAGTTCTGCCCTGGCTTCAGGACGGAGCCTCCTAAGTGGAGAGACAAGTATAATAACACAACTATGAAAATAGGAAGAAATAGAAAGAGTAACGCAAGTCATTTTGCAACCCACTACAAATTCCCATTTGGATATCAGAGTGAAGTAAAGCAAGTTTTGAAATCTTTGGGAAGTGGGATTCTGGGAGTTGGCCACCCAGTCTGAATGCACCCTGCTTTCTTTTGACTTTCAGTAAAAGGCCCTTTCCTAAAACAAAAAGGTGTACATCGCAGAAGAATTGATGACCCAAATGAACACATTTGAAAATAAAAATCTCTTAATCAAGACAGGGAATCTGAAACTAAAACAGGAAATGATAAAAGAGTGGAAGGCAATTTTGATTATATAAACTTAGAAAATGTATAGGAGGCAAAAAGCCACAAAAATACAATGGACAAATGATGAATGTGGAGACATACCCACAACAGGAATGAAAAATGGTTAATTTCTATAGTGTAGATGTTACAAATAAAAGGAGGTGAAAGATAAAGCGATTTCCTAAAAGGCCGTAAGAATGCATGAAAAGGCATTCATCCTCAGCAGCGGTGAGAAATGTGGTTGGAATCAAGGAAGCAGTGCCAGTACCAACTGGCCAGAGGGGCTGAGGGCTCTGGTATGACCCTACGCGCAGCTGCCAACTGCCTCTCCAGCAATATATAGTGTGCCAAAAATATGTATACACATGTTAAGAGATGTTATCTATACATCACTTTTCGAAGTTGAATTGAATTACAGTAGCAATGTGTTGTATGACGTTCGCTCAACTGTGCTTCCACCATTTTCTTTGGCTATCCTACCTGCCAAATGGTGACCCTACATTCATTTGATTAACTCTGTCATTTGAGTAAACGTCATTTAAGATGTGTATACAAGTTTTCGGCACACCCCCGCTCCCCGTATTTACTATGGTTTGAAAATACATGTGTCCTTTGCGATGGGCTGAATGCTTATGCTACCCCAGAATTCACCTGTTGGAACTTGACCCCCAGTGTGAGGGCATGAGGGGGCAGTACCTCTGGGAAGCAAAGAGTCCTGGGGGTAGGGCCTCGTGATGGAATCAGGACCCTCATACAGTGATCCTGGCAAGACCCCACGCCCCTTCCGCTATCTGAGGACACAAAGAGAAGTCAGATGCTAAATCTGCCAGTGTCTTGGTCTTGGATTGAGATATGGATGTCTGCTGTCTACGGAGTTCTGCTACAGCAGCATGGGCAGACAGAGGCACCCTTTGATCCAAGAGACTCACTGGTGAATTCTACTTGACGGAAATAAGAACACCAGGGCATATAGACACAGGTGCCGTGATGTCTGTATTGGCGAAAAGAAAAAACATCAAGTGCAAAGCAGGCCAGTAGTGGGTGGTGGCTAAGTGCTATGCCATGGGGTGGGGTGTATACCACCCTGAGGGCAGCAGATGCTGACATGCCAGCTACTCGGAGGGTCTCTGCGATGTCCTGATGCATAAGGAAAAAAATGCAGAAAAGCATGCTTAGGACAATTCCATTTTCTTGCTAAAGTGATGGAAAAACATTATTTCTGTATTTTTTCCCATTTTCCCATTCACCAAGCAAGTGTAGATAGGAGGTTTGGGGATGAATGACTTCGCCTTCTACAGTGTGACCTTCAAACCACGTTCCACAGGGTCAAGAGAGCTACAAGAGGGACAAGTGGGCCACACAGGGCTGCTCCAAGGCCTGTAGCCACTCAGACGGGTCGATGTGAGGCTCCAGCTAGGAGACCCACTGAAGCCAGGTGCCCAGTCAGCAGTGTGGCCCTCATCAGACCTTGTTTGTGAGCCTCTGTGTGAGCACACGTGTGTGTGTGTGTGTGTGTGTGTGTGTCAGCCAGGCAGGACTCAGTTTAGCAAGCCTGAGCATAGGTTTCTGAGAGACCCGCAGACCCCGCATGGAATCTGCCCTGGCTGGTGGCAAGAATAAATGGCCTGTTTATTCTCTACTCTGCTCTGGGCAGCTCAAGCCCACAGAAAGCTGTGTTTCCATCCATGCCTTACAGAAGGGGTCAGGAGAACACCTTTTCCCAGTCCTGGCTGGTCCTAACATCTTGAGAATCAGACCCTGTACCTATTTTGGGGGAACTGCCCCAGGTGTTCTTCTTGGAAGAATAAAGTTGGCTTGCTGAAAACCAGTTGGGAACAAAAATGTCCAAAAAATACAACTGGAAGGAAAGATATTTTCTTGCTTCGCATGCCAAGGTCTGACTAATTCACACAAAACTTTAGTGTTCTCTGGGGGCAGCCAGAGGGAAGACCCAGTTTCCCTTCTCTCTGGCCTCAGGTGTCTCTTTTCTCCCTCCTGCCTTCCTTCCCCTTCTTCCTCCCATCTCACTCTTCTCCTGCTTTTCTCTTGCTGGAATGAGAATCACGGGGCACTGTGAATCTTAGAGCTCAGCTCCAGGATCAAGCTCACTCCACTGGGCATCTTGGCATCCCTCTCTGTGGGGGCATGGGCACCTGGGCTTTGAACCCCAAGACCTCGGGCCAATTGTTGGCTTCCCTTGGCCACAGTTTCCTCATTTGCAAAATAAAGCAACTGCTGTTTTGAGGGTGACTGAGCATTTACCAATAGTGTCCTCTGAAACAACTGGGCCCTTGGAAGATTCTGCAGCCACAAGGGGGAGGCCAGAGTATTCAGCAGAAAGGGGCACTGGCCAGGAAGGGGCACTGGTGCTGGATCAAACCCCACTCTGCCTTGTAGGTCCCTCTGTGTGGAATTAGCAAGAAAGAATCAAGAGTCGTGGCTCCAAACAAGCACCTAATACTTGTGGGTCTGTGAAAGATCACTATTTTCTCACATAAAGAGCTAAGGACGGAGAAGCTCACTGAGCCAAGCTTGAGACCTCGGTGAGAGGACATGAGACATCCTCTCATGCTTCTTGTCAGTGCCCACCACTGCTACACATGTGAGAAGACTCTTGTCTCAGGACAAGAGCTCCAGGGTCCCTGACTACCCCCCTCCGAGGGGCAGGGCTTTGCCAGATGAGGGGTCTTGTTTTAAATTCTGTTATTAACAAACCAGTCCCCATGCGTCATGATCCAGGTTATCCCTGGAGATCTATTTCCTGCAGAAAGACCGTGACGGCCTATGGAACAGCTGATGTTCTGTGGAGTTATAAAGGAATTTACTATCTTAAAACTAAATTAATTCAAATCTGTTCAGACCAGGCAATTGTGCCAGCAGATGGATCTATCTGCTTGAAATGTGAGAAGAGGGTCCAGTGTTACTGGTTCCCACAGAAGAGATCAGCCAACTTCGGTAGTGAGGATCTCATACCAAGAGTGACGTGCCAGGATCCCAGACGCTTGACAAAGATACTGAGGACACTGGAGTATTAAGTGCTAGAAAGACGTGGTAGAATGGCTTGCATATAGGAGAGGCTTGACAGCATTTGTTGTATTACCTTAGCTTGATTCGGTACTACAACCACTGACAACTACCACAAATACAGCCGAGGGAGAAGAATGGCATGGGTAGCGTGAAACAGCCTACACTGAGTTTGTATTAACTATTATAATGAAGAGTATTTATCTTCCTATCAAAGCGTTTGGACCCCCCATGCATATTCACAGACATACAGCTGGGTTCGCAATCAGGCTTTGCACAGAATTTATTCTCTGCATAGACTGATTTCCTTCAATAATCTGGATGGAGGCATTTATCACTCGGAATCTAGGACATTTAGATAGAAACAAAAGTTGTATATGCTTCCCTGAGTCGGGGTTTTCCAACCCAGAGCTGCTACAGAAACTCTTGCCTTGGTCTGGGTTTGCGGGGATCAGGGTGCAGGGTGCTTTAACTTCCCAGCCCCGTCAGTAGCCAGGACTCCCCCTCCCACCCTGCCTCAGTGTCAATCCCTTGTCTCAGCTGCCCACTCGGGCTTGCTCTAGCCCCAGGCTCTCTGCCAGGCCCTTTGTTTCTCAGGCTTGACCTTGTGCCCTGAACCTGCACTGAGACATCATCACCACGAGAAGTGAGGACAAAGGGACAAGACGGCTTGTGGGGACTGCCTTACCCACGAGGAGGGCTGGTCGGGGCAGTGTAGTGTGCCCGAGCTGGAGTAGAGGACATCATCCTTCACCAGCACTGAGATGGCTCTCAGGATGAAGGAGAGGAACAGGTTCAGGTGGATGTAGTTTCTGGTGCAGTGCAGCTTCCTGTGGTGGGGCAGGAGCCGTGGGGGCGGAGGAGGGTCATGGAGAGGGGGAGAGATGGTGGAGGAATGGGGAGGGACAGAGGGGATGACGGATAGGGGAGGGAGGGAGGAGTAGGGGGAGACAAGAGGAGATCATTAAACACTGATTTCATAGACGCTTAACGATCACCTCATGGCTTTAATCTAAAGGTTGTTTTCTTTTTATGGAAGTTAAGCATTTTTTTAACTATTGCTGTACAAGGGAGACCAACCCCTCGCCCCCAACAAAAAAAACCCTGGAATTATCTTTTGGAGGGTGAGCTCCGAGTAGTACAGAATTCCCGTGCTAGATAAATGTTCTAGGACCCCATCAGCATCAGTGTACCAGCTAGTGTTGTTGTGAGAGGCTGCATGTGGCTTCAGTGAAATTTTTTTTTTTTTTAGATTCTTTCAACACATTTGCCCGTTTCATGATGGGTGATTTACAAGTGCAGCTGCCCACACTAAGTGACTTTTTTTTTTTGTTTCCCTGGATGAAAAAGTCCTCAAAGGGAAACATTTTGCTGATGCGGAAGAGATGAAACAAAAAATGGCAGAAGCACTAAAAGGCATCAAAATCGACAAGTTTAAACTGTTTTGATCAGTGGAAAAAGTGTTTCAATAGGTGTATGTATTGCATTAAACGGAGAGTACTTTGAAGGTGACTGAAGTTTAAACATGTAAGAATACACAATTTTTTATAAATGCATTTCCTTTTTTAGGGGTCCACCTTGTATATTTATGTTGTTTCCAGTGTGCATTACGGTACATTTTCTGTGCATAAATATTTCCCCTAATTTGAACTCTTTCCCCTAATTTGGACTATCTCTCTCCTAATTTGGACTATTTCCTTTCTGGAATAAGACTTTGGGATAAAAACACAAAACAAAGGAGTGCTGAACCCAGAGCCTGCTATGGGCAGGAGCCTGTATCACAGACACGAAGGTTGGATTGCTTCTGAGCCTGGTGTTCCATAGCTTGGCGCTAGGCACCCGGACTAAGGATTGCTTTTTTCCTTCTCTCTCATTTTGTTTCAGAGTCTCCTTCATGCTCCAACTCTTTCACCTTGAGACAGGGAGGCAGCACAAGTCTCTCCTCAACAAACTGATTAATACCTGGCTCTTGAAAGCCTTGATGCTGATTGAACCATACTTATTTTATTAGGTGGAAAAAGTTGCCTTTTCTAAAAGCTGATTTCCTCCCAGTGAAGAAAACGCCATGTAAGGTAGGCCCCTCTACGAACCAGACCTCCTGGGACCACCAAGGGAACTTGTCTGTGGACTAGAAACCTGTACTTTTGCCTCCTGGTCTCATATCCACTCTGACTGTCCCTCATGTCGACTGCTCATGGTGACCCAGATGCACAGGTTGGTACCTCCTGCTCCAACTGCACCCCTTTCTCCTACTCACACCGTCCTGTTACCCTTTCATGTCCCTTGACCCGTGCTGTCCAATCAGTCACTGCAAGCTACACAGAACAAATGAAATGGAAATTTGGCTAGATCAGCTGAAGACTATATTTAAAATTGTATTTAATTTTAATGAATGTACATTTTAAACACGGAAGCAGTATAAACTATTTTTCCTGTTATATATACCTTTCCTGTCCTGTTAGCATTATATTTTTCTTTCCCTGCTGCATCATGTAGGATACTGTGTTGTGTATGCATGCCAGGCATGTGTGATCTGTCCAGTATTTCGCATCAATATGCCACTAATCTAGCTGATGTCAGTACGAGGCAGGGTAGCTAGCACAGGTTAAACAGAGATAGATAAATTTCCACTAGATAGGTTTTAGGAAGAGTTCAGACATTTAAAAAATTATTGTTTATTGCAGGCCAAGCTGGCAGCCACCCCCTAGGCAAATCAAAAGAAAACTCCATCAGATGCAAGACTAGAACAGCCCAGTCTTTCAATTCATGGTTTAGCATAATAATCTCTAAGAGTTGCACATGGCTCACACCTGTAATCCCAGCACTTTGGGAGGTGGAGGTGAGAGGATTGCCTGAGTCCAGGGGTTCAAGACCAGTTTGGGCAACTTGGCCAGACTTTGTCTTTACAATAAACCAAAAACTAGCCAGGTGTTGTGGCATGCGCCTGTGGTTCCACCTACTTGGAAGGCTGAGGTGGAAGGATTACCTGAGTCCAGCAGGCTGAGGCTGTGGTGGCCATGAGCGTGCCACTGCTCTCCAGCCTGGGTGACAGAGTGAGACTCAGACTCAAAAAAAAAAAAGAAAAGAAAAGAAAGGAATCTTTTAGGTTCCCTGTGGAAGGCGGAAGACAGAAGGCCAAAGACCATCTCTTAACTGACCAAAGCCACAGAAATGACAATGAGACCACCTTTTACTTGTGGATTGGAAACATCTGACAGGTCTCCTGCAAAAGACAATGTGATCAGGAAAAGACCATCCCACCCCTCCCCTTCTCTCCTCCCTAGGAGCCCAGAGATGTCACTCTCCAGAGTAGCAGTGTCTAGGCTCCACTTTCTGTAGCATATCTATCGCTGTGAATGTATATCAGGTTTACTGTATAGAGCAAAGGGACGGTTACTTTTGCCCGTGCCAGCTCTGGTATGCTATTCTTTCTTTTCTCCTTTCTTTCTCTAATAAACTTTGTTTGAAAACTTTGCTGGCCACTCAAAAATTCATTTTAAAAATGAACCAAAGTATTCATGGGTTTTGCACTGCATCCCACCTGCATCTAATAGATAATCAATCTATACATGAATGGAACACTGTAATATGCGACTATATTATGAAGATGGTAGGAATTATAGTAGTGCTTGTATAAATCATAATTAGTTGCAAAATGAAAATGCTTGTTATCTTAAATACAACATAATTAGTTTTCTAGTTTTTTTTTAAAGTGGGAAAATTTAAAATGAAAGCATACTACTGATGAAGAATCAAATGAAGGTAAGAAATTTGTACTATGACCAAAAAAGTACAGGAAAACAACAACAAACAACAACAAAACTACAAAAGGGACTGGGCTTGGTGGCTCAGCCTGTAATCCCAGAACTTTGGGACGCAAAGGCAAGTAGATTGTCTGAGCCCACAGGTTTGAGACGAGCCCTGACAATTTGGTGAGATCTCCTCTCAACAATAAATAAAAAAAAAATTAGCTGGGCATGGTAGCACATGCCTGTAGTCGTAGCTACTTGGAATGCTGAGGTGGAAGGATCACTGGAGTTCAACGGGTTGACGCTGGGGTGGCTGTGAGCGTGCCACTGCATGCCAGCCTGGGCGATGAAGTAAGATTCCAAAAAAAAAAATAAACTACTAAAGAGAATGAAAGGTACCTATAGAAATCTAGAAGAAACTTAGCTTATTCTTTAGTCTTTTTGCCTCAGCATAACCATTAGCAAGCATTCAGACATTTTACTACAGAACAAGCAGCAGCCTATTCCAGCCCCCTCAGCAAATCTCCTTCAGATGCAGAATCAGGACAGCCTAACCATTCATGGTTTAGCATAATAATCTCTAGTAAACTTTTAGGTTCCTTGTCAAGACAGAAGATCAAAGATCACCCCTTGGCTGACCAAAGTCATAAAAGTAATAATAAGACCACCCCACCTTTGGTCAAGGAATTTGTGAGTTGCACATGTCTGAGTTTATGAATTGCAAATGTCTAACAAGTCTCTTACAGGAATCACCCCCCCCCCCCAGGGTTAACCTAATCAGCCTTCTGTGAACTACGTGACACAGATAAGCCCCACCATGGCAGCAATCATGTGACTAACCCACCCATCTGCCTGCTGTCCATCACCTGACAGCATCAGTACCAGTGCTTGCCTGCCCCTTTGTGATGATGTGGAAGCAGACCATCACCCAGTCACCTAATGATCTTCCCCCATCAAGGGGAATGGTTAAAAAGACTCAAGCACAAGCAACCAGCGGCCATTGTCTTGTTAGACTCTTGGTGTGGTCATGTGCTTTCTGAACTAAGCCTGTGGCCATATTTCCTTGGGGAGGTGAATCTTCTTTCTTCCTTCTCATTCTCTCTCTAACTTACTTTTAAATAAACTTTTCTTTCTTAACCTTTTTGTGTGTCACAATTCCTTGCAATTTACTCGGATCTCTGGGTTCCCAGCACACACCTCTGGCTTGCCAGTCCCGACAGTGCTGCGTGCCTCTTTCCGCCTCTCCACTCCCTGTCTGTCTATACCCGAACATTTTTGGAGGTTCCACCAAGATTCTTTACTTCCTTCTAGCCAAGATTTCTAAGTTTCCCCATGGACTGAGCTGGATGTCGGAGGACAACTGACGGTCTCTGCCTAGGGCTACTCCTTAGGGAGGTAAGAAGGTCCCCGAAGGAAAGCTCGGACCGCCAGTGCCCATGGGTGGGGGGAAGTGCTTGGTTTCTTTACTCTTTTCCCTCTCTGGCTGGTGAAACAACTCCACATAGGACCTTGAATCTACAACAGCTGCATGGTACGCCTTTCTGTGCCTCTGGTGAGTCATCCCTCATTTATCATACGTGCGCTCTTGGACCGCCCTTTGTTCAGATGACTTTCTGGGTCTCTCGGGTTTCCGGTTTCCATCTTGGGAGACTTCTAGCAAGGGTTGGGGACCTAGTTGCTCAAAGTCCTGGTACCAGACCTTCCAAGACATGGTGGAGCATGCATCCGGCAAGCTCCGGTGGGCATAGGAATGGGAGGACGCTCTCTCCCTGCTGACTCACATCCTTTGTGCTGATTCCTTTGAATCTGTTGGGGACGCCCGGCAGGGTATCTGGATGCGATAAGGCCCAGGAACAAATCCGAGAAACCAAGAGCCCATCCCAACTGTCCTTTGACTACAATACTGTTTTGCAGCCCCGGCACCAGCTCCAGCCTACCTTGCCCCAGCTGACTTTTTCATCTGGTGGACAAGTACGGGGAAATTTCACAACAGAAGCTGAGGAATGGCAAAACCTGACCAGAAGGTGGCTCCTTAACTCCTAATGCACTCCTGCAGCTTGCTTTAGACTTCACAAGAAATG